AAAGTCACTGAGCGTCGCACAAACAACATCGTTAGGAACCTTTGTGTGTACTTAACAAGGTGCTACTCTAAAAAAAAAAGCGACATCTAAAACGGCGCTAAGATTGGGAGACGTTTAACCAGCGCTACCGGACAAGCGTGAGAGGTTGAACAGAGTCGCGAGAACGCAGTAGAAACCGCACCGTAATTGCGTGTCATAAAATGACCGCCATGCGGTCACTGGACGATGTCATGAATCACGGCACTCAAAGTGCTTGTTGGGAATCGACCGTAGCACCGATGAGTTTTCGATGCCTTTCCGGAACCTTTTTGTTCATAAATGACACTGTAAGCAATTTCCTGAACCTGAATATTCACGACCGATGTGCCTTTGAGCCAAACCTGCATGCCCTCTGTAGTAGTTTTGTTTTCTTTAAGAGCAATAAAGTATGCAAGTAACAATAAGCAAGAGGCATCTGAGGAAAGTGACGCTTCCCCACCTAAGGTGGGGAAGCGTCACTTTCCTCACCTTAGGTGGGGAAGTGATTCATTCCCCACCTTAGGTGGGGAATCAAAAAGGATTTTTCAATGAGGAGACCGTTCCGGAATGATTTTGCCGCGTCTGGTCTAGCCACCTGGGTGCCTGCACATGCATGGTGTCAAGAAGATTTATTTTCATAAACGAGTGGATGTCACGGTGCGGTGTACATTGCAGACAAAACTGATTCTACCCCGGAAGTGCATCAAAGTGTAAGTCCATAAAAGGATATGCTCTATTGATAATCTATGAACATAGAACATTTTTTGCATTATTAATCAGCCTGACAACGGAAAACAACTGTTTTTGCCAAATGCGACTGCAGTGTTGGCGTTACTGGGAACTGCAAGCATCACTGTCACTGTGCAAATAGACAAAGATGCCGCAGCATCAAAAAATCCCTCCATCATTAAAAAAAAAAACATACCCCAAGTTTTGCAGAATGGCACCAAACTCAGGAAAGGTGCATGCTCATGTAACAGTAAACAAACTGCATTTTGGGAACGGTTTGAGTGAACACTGCTGGTTCCTTCACCAGTCAAGTACAGATAAGCATTATCTATCATTCCTAACTTTCATGTTTACAGGCGGATCAGCCTCTATGCAAACGGTCTATATGTAAGACATTTCAGTATATTTTTTTTGTTTTTAATTTTTCGTGTGGTATTAAGATGGCACACCTGTTTCCGCTTTTCATTCAAGGACAAGAGGTCGGATAAGTCAAACTAGTTTTAAGCTGCTCATTTCTTCGCGACCTTCATGGTATTAGTTCTGTTTGGGGACTCAGTGAACTCTGTTATGGATGGGAAAGCTCTAGGGTCACCTGAGTGAGGTGTGTTTGGGTCTTTTTATATTGCTCTCGTAGTGCTCTCATAGACAGGCCAGAGCCTATGAGGGATCGCCAATTATACAGTTTGGGGATTTGGGCAATATTTTAAACCTGGTCAATTCCGAAAATTCACTCAATGTTCGACTGACCCTCACATTGGTTTTGCTTTTGTCTTCGAGCAGGAAGGTGGCCCTTTCGAGATGTCTCGTAAAGTCATCAGCTTTGCGTGACTACAAGATTCGGGTACAAAAGGGCTTGGTTATTGATGGAATAGTTGCAGTGCGAGTGGCCATCTGATTGGCACTCCGTTCGACTGCCTATTGCTCCCATCCAGAGTTTTTAAATCTGTGTTTCTTTGAACGGCTGCGACCCTAGTTGTTGCTTTTTCAACGTTTCGCCCTCAATGGTATGCTTTGGCCCTTGGGCGTGCTTTGCCTGCGGGCGTGTGTTTGCCTTCGGGCGTGCTTTGCCTTCGGGCGTGCTTTGCCTTCGGGTGTGCTTTGCCTTCGGGTGTGCTTTGCCTTCGGGCGTGCTTTTGCCTTCGGTCGTGTTTTTGCCTTCAGGTGCGCTTTGCCTGCAGATGTGTGGTTGCCTTCGAGTGTGCTTTGCCTTTGGGCATGTTTATACCTTCAGGCATGCTTTGCCTGGGGCACATGCTTGCCTTCGGGCATACTTTGCCTGGGGCACATGCTTTCCTTCGGGCATGCTTTGACTTTGGGCGTGCTTTGCCTTCGGGCATGCTGTTGCCTTTGGGCATGTTTTGTCTATATTCGAGAGTGCGGCGTTGCGTTGGCCCGCCAAGCAACGAGACAATAACTATCTTCCAGACCAGCCATCAACCCAGCATCGGTGAGCCTACGCGCGTTCTCCTGGACTCTAGGTCCTCCCCCGCTAGACCCTTCTTTTTCTGAACTTTTTTTATTTGAGCTGGCGAATGTTTGTTTCTGGCTGCATTTGTGCCATGCATGTCGCATTGTTTAGCAATGTTTTAGTTTTGAGGCCAAGTAAACACACAGTTGATTCCAGCAAACAAAGCTCCCAGTGGCCGATGGCTGCACAATTTTTTCTCGGATCACAAGTCCGTAATACGATACCTCTTTGTACGCAGTAGTTTCTCCTCACTTTTACTGTGCGAACGAATATATAGTTATCAATGGCCTCATCTGAACAAAAATATATGAAAGATGTGTGTTAGTTTCATGAAACTGGAACTCGGAGTCATTTCTCATATAGGGCACTGTTAACTGTAGGCTTTGAAAAAGGACCCTACTTTGGGGAGTTAGGTCTTCTTTCTCAATCATATAATGCAACATGTTATTAATAGAAATGATTGCCGAAATAGAGTACAACAGGGTATCCCAATTTTAGAAAAGTCTAAGGTGCTGTTTTTGTTATTTCCATCAAAGTTTTTTGTTGCGATTTTTTTCTCATGTTTTCCTAAATATATCACGACTACCGTATCACTGAGATATCTAATATGTATATTTAATAGTAGCCATTTATAAGTACAATACTGCCTGAAAACTATATGATGGCAATTAAATTATTTCATGAGATACAGGCCACCAAATTTTATATTACAAGCAAGCTGGACCCATACTTTATCTCTAAAAAGTATCAGAATTCTCCAAATTTTATTGCTTTAGTTGTTCACTTTCAAACGTGCCCCCTCCATCAGTGCACGTTAATGCAACTGTCCACCTCTCATGCCTTAACGACTTTTCCTGTCGCCAAATATTTTTTCCTGGTCAAAACTGAGTGTAGACTTATTTATACCAGACACTAAACAATGGCATATAAAAACATCAGTTGATTTAAAAATGGATATTAAATGGATACATTATCTCAAATCACCTGTAACATGTTTTTGTGCATCACATCCTCAAACATCAAAAAATGGATATTGCTTTTTTTGCATTTTAAGAAGTGCATTTCTTTCTGCACATTTTCCATTGTCACACTTCTTTTAGAAAGTCATGTTTCTGACTAAAACAGACTTCCCGAAAGCAAGTAGCGGGTGACCACGCCCCCTTTTCGGATACGCTCCTTGTTTATCGTTAATTTTTCCTACAAAACAATTTCAACGCGACATCTAAAAGCTCGTTTGGAATCGGCTATATCTAAGAAATGGTCTGGCAACTATTGCACAGCTCTTTTTTAGCCAAGGCAATCCCGAGACGCTGTGCATGTTTTTTTTTCCACGTGTGTGCTTTCAAGCGCCTGTGTTCGAGCACTGTTCGTTCCTAGGAGTAGTTACTATGCTTTGTGCCCGTGTGCGTTCCATGTTGATAAGTTGGGATGCCCAAGGCAAAGAAACTGTTCAACAAGCATCAATTCCATGGAAATCGGTACAATTTTCTCGCAAAAGCAAATGGAACCCGGTGATGCATTGAGACCCCGAACGCAGATACTGCCAGCTTCTCATCACCAAAGCTTTCCAGTTTTTTTTTCCTGTCCTACCAAGAAAAAAATGTGCTACAGTGCAACAATGGGTATGTCCTAATGGACATGGATGTTTTATGTGGCGTAATTACACAAAGCCGTGTGTGCAAACTGTGCGGTAGAAGCCTTCAGCTTGTCGAAATATTGTCGCAGCGAGCAGGTGTTGCCAGTGTTTACAGTTTGACCTGTGAAGCATGCAGTGCCTCACAACGGTTTGAGACCTAAAAAAAAGAAACGAGTTCTGGCCTCTATGATGCCAACCTTGGGCTGGTTTACGTCTTGAGGTGCATTGGTAAAGGGGCGGATGCAGGAAGTGCACTCTGTGTCATGCTAAACCTTCCTAAACCACCAACAAAGTTTGCGAAGTACAGAGCTCCCAAGTCACATTGAGACTGCTGCCAAGGAGTCGATGAAACAGGCTGCTCAAGAGGCTGTGCAGCTGAATGATGGCGACAAGGACATCACGGTTGCCCTTGATGGAAGCTGGCAAAAGCGTGGCCACACTTCTAACAATGGTATAGTTTCTGCAACTAGTGTAGACTCCGGGAAAAATTTGGATGTTGAAGCGATGTCAAAGCGCTGTGCAAAATGCGGCAGCAAGGATGTAACCAGTGATCCTCGGCACAAAGAGGTGTGCCAAGGCAACTACCAAGGCACCAGTGGTGGAATGGAAGTCACAAGAGCCCTGAATATCTTCTGCAGGAGTGAGAAGCTCTATGGAGTGCGATATGTCAAGTACCTTGGGTACGGTGACAGTAATACCCCATTCACACGAGCTGCTAAAGGACCTGTAGCTTAGGTCCCTTAGCTAAAGGTACCTGTATCAAGAGGCGTTCGTGATCACACAGCAAATAAACGGAGGGTTTAGGGTTGATGTTTATTGCACCGGGGATAGCCAGGCTAAACCGAGGGGCGAACGAGCAATATATAATATTTTGTCTAACCAGGTTTGAGACACATGCATTACTTTGTTAGAAGCAGAATATATCGTTTTAAAACCAATTAATAATTTTGTTTTCATTTTATTGCATGGTGGAGGTAAAAAATCTGCTTTTCTTTAGAATGTCTAGCGGGTGTGTGCCCGCCGTGTTATCGGATCCAAATCCAAAAGAGGTACGTGGTCGAGGCAGGTCAAGTGGTCGCACTGGTCGAGTTACAGATGCGAAACGTGATCCGTGATCGAAAACTCTCCGTGACACATCGCGCCGTAGTGATGGAAGTGACTGACGGCGACGAGCGTCTTGCGATGGACGACAACGGTTGCATGGGCATTTTGTGGTCGCTGCATCAGCGGCGGATCCAATTTAATCAGCTTGAGGAGAGCATCCAAGCCACCGAAGAGGCAGCGGACGAACTTGAGGAGCAGCTTATGGCAACAAACTTCACTGTCGCCACTCTTTTGGTGCAACGGTTCACGAGGATCCCTCGCGAGAGGGCAATGTACGTTCGGTCGGGGAGGTGGTTTGAGGAGACGCTGCCTAGGCTGGGCGAACAACACTTTCGTGCCTGCTTTCGTGAGTCCTCAACCGCCTTCCGGTACCTCGTGGACGTCTGCCGCTCGTCAATGCAACGGCAAGACACAGCCATGAAAACTGCAATCACAGTGGAAAAGAGAGTAGCCATCAGCCTGTACAGGCTCTGCTCCACGGCGGAGGAACGGACAATCGGCCACATTTTCGCTGTTGGACAATCGGTGGGAAACGAGAGCTACCGCGAGTTCTGTGACGTTGTGATTGAGGAACTGGAGGCCAGAACGGTTTCGATGATTGGGAACGAGGATCTCGAGCACCACATGCACGAATTCCAGGCAGTCCTGGGATTCCCCAACGCCATCGGTGCTCTTGACGGCTGCCACCTGCCCGTGTCGCCGCCGAAAGACTCGGCTGTCGACTACCGCAATTACAAAGGCTGGTGAGCAAACAGCGACACTCGTTTTCTCGGGGTAACTTTGCTCATTTCATATAAAATTACGGGGTAATGAATGCTTTCGCGCGAGCAATGCTGGGCCGTTCAGTGCAATTTGGTCCTTGGAAAAACTAAGGAATTTTGATAATTCGTGCTTCAAACATAAGGATAAACCAAAAATATACGCTGGTGCAGTCACACCAGGGACCATTCTCGTTCTCTTCAGCATTACAGACATGATGTCACTACACTCGCGGACAACTTTGTGTGTTGAAACAAAGGGAGGAGGAAAGCATGTGCGAAATGATGAACGCACCCTCTTCTTACAACAGACTTAATAGCCACAGAAAGTTGCCCGTGGGTGTAGGGCACCCATGATGGCTGTGTCAATTTCGTTGCCTGTGCTTGAGAGGCTCTCTTTAACAAAAAGTTGCAATTTCAGGAGCACACAATTTAGCTAATCTGTTGCATGCAGTACTGCTGCTGTTTCTTGCTCACATGTGGTCACTTTGTTTTAGGTACAGCGTCATCCTGTTGGCATTGGTGGACCACAGGTAGCTGTTTCGGTACATCAGCGTGGGCTCCCCTGGCAAGTGCCACGATGCCAATGTGTATGGGCGATCCCCGTTGGGGCGTCTGCTCAAGGACTACCAGGTGGCTGTGCCAAGAAGCATTGGTGGCACAGAAATACCACCTATCGTCCTGCGCGATCAGGCATTCCCCCTCACTAGGAACCTGATGAAGCCCTTCCCCCACAGTTTGAATCACCCTCAGGACGAAGGCGACTGCTGCGCCCACAGATGTAGTGCACCCTCTTCAAGTCACTCTCGAGAAAATAGTGCGTATTCTCCGCGACGTTGGTCCCAGGCATGAGCGGACGGAAGCTGGCCACTGATTGAGCGAGAAGACATCGTTGCGAGGTGGCCAGCGTGCTGACAATACTTTGGACTGTTGTGTCTTGGAAGTGGGACACCAGCCGAGTAGTAACAACAACTTGGTTTTATTGACAGCCAGCCGTAAGACCGCGCATACCGCTGGTCCTAAAACACTCTCCTGTGTCAAAAGCCGTGCTGTGCTTATATCAGCAAAGAGGACGAGAGGGAAGGGGGGCGGCGCCCTAGCTTAGACACGTGGCGATGACATAGCTGATTGCTATCGGAATACAAACACTACATTCCCCCTTCCCTAGATGATGCTTTAAATACACAAGTTAACACTTAGAACTAGAACGGTTTTGCTTTTAAACAGAGATAATTGGAAAAGTTAACAGTCCAGGACACAAAACCACAAGGTGCGTAGGCACAGTCACTGCGTTGGTGTGTACCGATCTGGGGGACGTCTTTCCCTTGTTGGGTACCGAGATCGCGTGGAGGTTCCGCTGCTCCTGTCACCTGGCGAAGGCCCTGCGTCGTGATCTGGGTCCTCAGAACCGGGTGGTTCTGGGTCGCCTCTTGTGGAAAACTCTCTTGGGTCGTCAGCAGCTATGGCCGGTGCTTGATCATGGAGTTGCCCGGCGCACGGTTCAGTACCGGTCGCCGATTCCGACGGTTGCCAGGGAGCCTCACTACGGTCGCAGTGATTGTGGTTGGCAGACGTTGTCTCTCGGTCCGCCTCCCTTGGACGTATGTGGTCTTGATGCCTCTTCCATTCCATGACCCCACGTGGTGTAGTCACCTGTAACACGTAAGAGACTGGTCCCGTGCGTGATGTCACCATCGCCTCCAGCCACCTTGGACCTTCTCTAGAGTTTTTCACAAACACTCTGTCACCAATGGCGAAGAATCTCCGAAGTTCTTTTCGACCGCGTGTCTGTTGGAACTGTTTTTGTTCTACCACTCAACGAGCACTGGGCTTCAGTAAATCCAGACGGGTTCTAAGGGGTCGCCCCATCAAAAGTGAAGCCGGAGAGTGCTGGGTAGTTGCATGTGGCGTATTCCGGTAAGCTAGAAGAAAACTGGCCAGTCTCTCTTCAATTGATCGGCCTTTGACGTCCTTGCGAAAGGCTTCTTTCACTGTTCTGACGAATCTCTCAGCCAACCCGTTGCTTGATGGGTGATAAGGAGCGGATCGCACATGTTTTACCCCGTTCATTTTGAGGAATGACTGAAATTCTTTACTGCAGAACTGCGGCCCGTTATCTGACACGACTACCTCTGGCAATCCAAAACGGCTGAAGAGGTCACGCAGCTTACCAATGGTGGCTTCTGCCGAGGTCGAGGGCATCAGGAACACCTCGGGCCACTTTGAATGGGCGTCTACCGCCACCAAAAAATTGCGTTGAAGAAACGGGCCAGCAAAGTCCAGGTGGAGACGGGCCCATGGCCTTGTAGGCCAAGCCCACGGATGAAGGGGAGCTTGGGTAGGCAGCGCCCGTTGCTGCTGGCAGGCCGCACACGTTTGCACGGTGTTCTCCAGGTCGGCGTCAATTCCTGGCCACCACACGTAGCTGCGGGCCACTTCCTTCATCCGCACCACGCCGGGATGTCCTTCGTGCAGCTCGTCCAGGATTGTCTTCTGTAAAGATGGGGGAACCACAATGCGCATTCCCCACAACAAACATCCTCGGTCCACCGACAGCTCCAGATTTTTCGAAACGAACGGCCTCATCCCTTCATCCGTAACGCGCTCGGGCCATTGTCCTGTAACCGCGTGAAGTACCTGACGTAGGGTCGGGTCTCGTGAAGTTTCCCTCGCGACGTCGGAGTTTGTTATAGGGAAAGTTTCCCACCGAAGTGCGTAACAGGCGGTTACTTCGTCGTCGTCTTCCTTTTCGCCGCTCCGGGGAAGTGGTAGACGCGACAAGCAGTCTGCTTCTACGTTGCTTGCGCCCGAACGGTAGATCAGGTCGTAACGATAGGCCGACAGCTTAATGGCCCACCTCTGCAAACGGGCTGCGGCAATGCTTGGTATCCCGGTCTTCGGGCCGAAAATCGTCTGTAGAGGCTTGTGATCAGTTACCAAGCCGAACTGTCTGCCATAAATGTAGTAATGGAACTTCGTAATTCCGAAAACTAAGGCTAGCGCTTCTCGCTCTAGCTGACTGTAGTTCCGCTCACTCGGTGATAACGTGCGCGATGCAAACACGATCGGCCGTCTGGACCCATCTTTTTCCACTTTCGCTAGAACAGCGCCCAACCCGTATGATGAAGCATCACACATTACCTCAAGCTGGGCTTCCGGATCATAATGTGCCAACACCGGCGCTTTTACAAGCAATCTTTTCACTTTCTTAAACGCCAGATCACACTGTTCACTCCAGACCCACGGCGCATTTTTGCAAAGCAGCTGATTCAGCGAGAATATTACCGTCGATAACTCCGGCAGAAACTTTCCGTAGTATGTTACCATGCCCGTAAACGTTCTCAGCTGCTTTTTATCGATTGGAACGGGGGCTTCTAGCACGGCCTTTACCTTCTCCGGCGTTGCTGATATTCCATGTTTACTGATAACGTGACCCAGAAACTGCAATTCCGGTTTCAAAAATTCACACTTCTCTGCCTTAATCCGCACTCCCCTTTCGTGCAACCGGGTTAGTAGCGCATCTAGGTTTTGAAGGTGTTGTTCCGTCCTGTCCCCCATTATCAGAATGTCATCTAGATAACATATTACCCCCTTCAGTCCCTTCAACATGTTGTCCATAATCTTTTGAAAAATCGCGGGCGCAGACGCAACTCCGAATGCTAGGCGATTTACTGCGAACAGTCCCTTGTGCGTATTGAGTGTGAGGTACTCGCGGGAAACCTTGTCCATTACCACTTGCTGGTATGCTCTACTCAGGTCGATCTTGGAGAACACTTGTCCTCCCGCGAGAGTGGCAAAGATTTCTTCAATCTTGGGTAAGGGATAGTTGTCAATGTTCAAGCACGGGTTCAACGATGCTTTATAATCCCCACATATGCGTACGCTGCCATCTTTCTTTACCACTGGTACAATTGGGGAGGCAAAACGACTTTTCGAAATTGGTTCAATTACTCCAAGACCAACCAGCTTTTCCAGTTCTTTCTCCACTGCTTCTTTCAGCGCGAACGGAATGCTTCTAGCTTTACAGAACTTCGGCTGCACTTCCGGCTTGAGAGAGAGCTGAGCTTGCTCACCTCTAATCCCATCCTCGTCGCCAAGAAGTTGTTGTGTCTTGGAAGTGGGACACCAGCCGAGTAGTAACAACAACTTGGTTTTATTGACAGCCAGCCGTAAGACCGCGCATACCGCTGGTCCTAAAACACTCTCCTGTGTCAAAAGCCGTGCTGTGCTTATATCAGCAAAGAGGACGAGAGGGAAGGGGGGCGGCGCCCTAGCTTAGACACGTGGCGATGACATAGCTGATTGCTATCGGAATACAAACACTACAGGACGATACTGAGAAAAGCGTTGAAAGGCTTGCTTACCTTGTGTCATTGAAGGCAATGGCAAGGCACAGTTATTACATACAACCAGATCACTATGAGAATCCTACGCTGCCAGACAGAATCGAGGTGGATCTGGCATGTTCATGCTGCACAAGTTCCCCGCCGACCCATACCTACAAAGCGGGTGACTATTAAATTGAGCTGTCACAAAACTGCATCTGCTCTCAATATTTCTTGCATGGGTGGCCAGCTACCAACAATCTCTGGCCAATGCTTATGCTGGGGCTATAGCTGAAATGCAAGTGAAGTGCAGAATATTGTGAAGCATTGAACCATGAATACCATGATTCAATGCCTAGGACAGGATCCAACTTTTATTTTCCTTGGAATTGATGTGCCAGAAATTCATGTTCATTCTTTCTTTGACTGTTTTACATACAAACATACTGGTTCGTATGTTTGGGAAACCAATAGCATACAGAAGCAGTGTAGCATGACTGTAAAAGGCTCCGGTATACTCCGACATGGAGCGCAGCCTAGTGCATGACGTGCAGCTTTCATTGGCCTACATAGACGAGATTGAGATCTGCAACCAATCAACATCTGTGTGCCTTGTGATAGTGCATAGCTCTCACGTGCGACCGTGCTACGTAAGAGTGTAGCA